CTCTAGGGTTGGCCAAGTGGCTCGCTTTGCCCTCTGTGATGGTGGCAAACGTGATACAGGCTTGAGTGACTGGGCTTCCCCTGCCCTTGCCTCTGCTGTGGCCGTGAGAAGGCCATGAGGACGAGCCAGCCAGAGGAGCAGAGCTGAGGCACCCAGTCAGCCAGCCAAGGCCAGATGGTCAGAGACAGCCAGTCAACCCTCAGTCACGGGTGGGAGCCCTGCCAACGTCACTGGAGCTGCCTACCTGACCCCAGCTGACTTGGTCTTAGGAGCAAGCCTAGCCAAGGGCAGCCAAGCCCAGCCTATGGCACCTTAAAACCACAGAGATATGAGCCAACTGGTGTTTCTTGTTTATGCCATTAAAGTTACGTTGTTACTCATTACTCAGCCTTTTTGTACCAACAGACAATGGGTACAACCCTCCCTTCCCTCCACGTCTTTAAGTTCCCCATCGCCTTGAGTTCTTGTCCTCAGTCTAGAAACACATTCAGCTCTTGTCCCCACCCCAGCCTAAGATGCTGAAACTTCTCCAACTCTCTTTTATCTCAAAGTACGGTCTTTCTCTGCTTCTGCGGCTAGCCCAGAGATGCCAAATGAAAGTGCCCTTTCTAAGACATAAAACCCACCCTGAAAGATCAGAAAGCAAAGCAGATGCTGGGAGAGCAGAGAAGCTTGTGTGAGACGCTTGCATTTTGGGTAGCTAGCAGATATTGAGTATCATTAATAAAATATTAATGAATTTATTTAATTATGTTTATATATCATTGGAAACACAACTAACCAGCTTGTTCTCTGAGAAAACACTTCATGAGACCAATGATGGAACTCTTTAAAATAGCAACACATAGTCATCTGTTTTGTAATGCAATTTACAAAAGGTGCCAGAAGATACCATCACAAATGTGCCCTTATGACCCACTCGGGGACATGTACTCATTATGTTTAAAATGGCTAGCACATATTTAATAGTAAAGGTTCAGAAGGGATAAGATTAATAAATTAAAACCCACGAAATAAATCACCAGAAATGCATATAATTAAATTCCTGCCCTGAGGTCCAAAAGGTGCCAGCGTTCCTCGTAGAGTCCCTGCCAACGTCTCCCCAGGGTGAAACATCAAATGTGACTTTTCACCTGATCACTGGACCCAGGTTCCCCCATTAGCTGCAAGATCACGGGAAATCTCTGGCTGGCTTTGGAAATACACACCTGGGTGGTTTCAATATGCAGAAGAAGGCTTGGAAATGAAACTTCTCGGAGCTTTTGGTAGAAATAGTAGAAAGCTGCCCTCTTCCTCCACCAGCTCTGACTTCCCCAGCCCCACCCCGTGTCCTGGGAATCCAGATGCACTCATAGGCTGATCCTACTCAGGTGGGTGGTGCTTTAGAAGACCTGGCCTTGCCCCTGGCCTCCTGGGGCCTCCTGGGACCCCCTATGAGTCCTCAAGGGATTTCTTCTGAATCCTGGGCCCATGCATGAGACCTGAACCTCAGTGGCACCTCCATCCTGCAGGAGCGAATGAATGAGTGACCTGAGCCAGACTCTGTCACCTGCTCCCTCACAGTGGCTGCCCACTCCTCCTGCTTGCCTGATGTCACAGACTGAATCGTGTCTCCCTCAAATTTATATGTTGAAGTCCTAACCAACTGGGGAGTACTTCAGGATGTAACCATATTTGGAGGTAAGGTCTTTATAGAGGTAATTAATATAAAATGAGGTCATTGGGGTCGGCCCTAGTCCAATATGCCTGGTGTCCTTACAAGAAGAGGAGATTAGGATACAGACACACACAGAGGGACGATCATGTGAAGACATGGGGGAAAAATGGCATCTACAAGCCAAGGAAAGAGGCTGCAGGAGAAACCAACCTGCCGACACCTTGATCTTGACTTCTGGCCTCCAGAAGTGTAAGAAAATAAAAGCCTGTGTTCGAGCCCCCAATCTATGGCATCTTGTGCATCCCAGCCCAGTAACACACCAGCTCTCTGACCGGACTGCCACCTCGCCAACCTGCTTTTCACTTCAGCTTCCTGTGGGGCTGGTCTGCTACCTTCCAGTCCATTTTCCAACCAGCATCCTGAGCGATTCTTCTAAACCACAAAGCTGATTGTGTCGGCTTCTGCTTGATCTTGTTCCTCAGTGGCTCCTGTGGTCCTCTGGGTAAACTCCAGACCACTGAACATGGTAACCCCAGGCCCAGCGAGACGCGGCCCCACCCTTGAGGTGGAGCTGGGAGATGAAGCGTGGCTGTGCCGGCGTCCTGATTCTCAGACAGCCATTTCTCTGTCTGCACTGCTGCCACCTGGGCCCTCGCCATGCCTTTAAGATCTCGCTGCCATGGTGCTGTCTTCAGGATAGCACTGTGCATGCCACCCCTCCCGCCACAGGCCTCCTACACCTCCCGAGCTTCCCTAGATCCTCCCCAACGACTCTGTGGGACCCACAAGGGCCCAGCCCGTGTTTGTCATCTTCATTATGCTATTCCCAGAATCTGACACAAAGCAGGTGCTCAAGAAAGATTTACTAAGAGAAAGACAGAAGAATGGGAATGGTCAAAGAGTCAGGCTCTAGTACAAAGGTTAATCAGCTTCCTCCATGCTCAAGGGAGGGGAGAAAGGGCTGTGGCCATAGACTCCTCTCTTGCCCTTCTCTCCTAGTAGAGGAGATTGGTCTTTTCTGAGAATTCCCTGCTCCTAAATTTCTTTTCTGCTCTGTCTGGAAAGCCACTCACTGGAAAAGGCCATTCACTGAGAGGGGATATCAGCCATTCACCTTTTAGTATGAAATAGGGTAGTCAGAGCTGTGTCCCCCAAACTAGTGGAGACTCCTTGATGAAATGGGAGCTTGGAGAAGAAGGGAGAGTTTGGGTGCAGGGACCCTGGGGAGTGTGCAGGATGTTGCAAACCCAGAAGGCAGAGACAGGATACCATGAAAGCCAGCCATGCATGGCAGGACGAAGGATGGGGAGCTCAGAGGGTCAGGATGGGATCCAGGAGGAAAGTGGGAAAGAGCAGAGGGGGAGGTTGGGAATGGTTGGAGAGAGGGAGGTGAGGTGCGATGGACAGAAACCCAGGATCACAGGCACGAGGAAACCCAGAGGAGGCTGCACAGGAGTGGCCTGCCCCCATCCTTCCTCCATGCAGCAGCTTCAGGAGACTGTGGCCAGGGGTGGTGAGGATCGAGTGTGGACTATGGAACCAGACAGGCCTGGGTCACCCACTGTCTCCCTGAGTCTCATTTCCTCATCAATAGAGTGGCTGGATTATTCCTATTAACTTGTGTTCCTGTCTGAAATTTGCTTCTGGACAGCTATCCAGGGCCTGAAGTCCCTGCCCCAAGGTCTCTCTCAATCACTAGGCAGGGCCCTGAGGATCCTGGCTACACCCCAGCCCTCCAGACCCCTGCTCCTGGACAGCCTTGCAGAACCAGCCTGTGCCTCTTCTCACCTCTGCTGCACTTGCTTCTGTGATCGGACTGAACAGAGAAAGGGGACAGGAAGAGGGCAGATGTTCTGCCCCTTACTGGGCACTTTGCATGTACTGGTGCTGTGCTGGGGCTGACCTTCACTGTCTCACCTCGGACCTTCCCCTCCCCTGCGAGGCAGGTTCAAGCCCTAGACTCAGAGGTGTGGTCACTTGCCCGAGGATGTATGGCTGGTTGGGGGCTCAGCTGAGCTCCCCTTTGGAGGATCTTGACTTTTAGACACTTTTAGATCTTCAGCCTTGATTGGGCACTCCACTCTGCCTAGCGCCCCTGGTGCCTTGAGGCTGTCACTGACCTTCTGCTCAGGACATAATGATTTCAATCCCCTGCCCCAAAGTGCTCAATCTGGCTTCAGCATCTCATATTGAGATGCAAACGGTCCCATCCACTGCTCCCACACCCTGAGGCCTGCTGCTGGAAGGTAGGACATGCTGAGCCCTGCTCGTGACACATGGAAGGTTCCAGAAGAGCCTGCAGGGGTGGGAGGGAGGGCAGGAGAAGCTGTGTAGAGGAGGTGACAGATTCACCCCTGCATGCCTCGGCAGCACCTCAGAAGAATTCCCACGTACTCACTCCAGCCCACCTCCCTGAAAGGTCTCGAGAAACGGGACCCTGAAGAATTTAGCGTTCCAGACGGTGATGAGAGTTGGCCACCGGCATCAGCTGCATTCAATTGCCAAGTCCGCCGAGCATTCCTGGGCCGTGCCCTAGACCTGTAGTTCTGAAACTTCGCTGGGCATTATGTCCCCAGAAAGCTGACACAGAACACAGAGGCCTAGGCTCACTGAAACAGGACAGGGCCTGGGCTTTGATTTTTACATGTTCCCCAGGTGATTCTGCTCAGGCCAGAGTTGGAGAGCCATTGACGCGGTGCCTTGCTACTCAAAGTGCCTTCCACGAACCAGCAGCGTTGGTCTCACCTGGGAGCATCAGAAACGCAGAATCTCAGACCCTGCTACATACCTACTAAATCAGTGTAAGAAGATGCCCCGGGGATCCACACGTGCATGAAAGCCTGAAGAACTGAACGTGGCCAACCAATAGATGAGGAAGGACCTTGCAGATTATCGATTACTAAACTTGGGCTGGACAGGCACACGCTCTCTCGTTTCATCCCCATGACAACCGTGGAAGGCAGGTCTCATTTCTCCATTTTACAGAAGACAACACTGAGGCTCAGAGAGGTGAGTGACTTTTATGAACCATAGGTTCATAGGTTGGAGGAGCTGGGATTGGAAACCCAGGGATCCCACGCCAGCCCCCACTGCTGCCCTGTGGTCCTCACACTAGGATGCGAACAGCAAAGACTTCAGAGGCGAAACCATCATGTAAGTGCCACTCAACTTACCACGACAGGACACAGACTAGGAATTTATGGAGATGTTCATCCACCAGGATTGAAATGAAAAGAGGATTTTCTCATCAACCCTAAAATTCGACTCACCAGGACCCGCAATTTTTAGTGCCCTCAAACTTTCCACTGAAAGAGTCCCTATAAAAGATTCATAGCAGACTTACCATGTTCGTCCAGCAGTATGTTGTCAGGTTTGATGTCTCTGTAAGAGAAAACAGAGAAGCTGGCAATGTCATTCCTGGATCCCTTTGATGTGCACATAGACACGTTCAGGAGAAATGTGGACAGCGCCCTGGCATGCTCAGCGGGACAGTAATTAGCATGACACTGGAGTGTCTGTGTTCTTACTTCCTTCTCTTTCCTGGAACTGAGAGTAGATTGAATATATTTTTCCCTGAATATTCTTAACTTTTGGCTCTCAGCTCCAACCATAATGGTCACAATAGTGACTGCTCATTGAGCATGTGGTCTGAGCTGCATGTGGAGACACATTCCCACCCTGATGTCCCAGCCCTCCCACGTGCTGCTCCTGGGGCTGTGGCCCCCACTTCAGGGACAGAAGAACTGAGCTCCTTGGATCTGCAGACTACAGTCTTTGGGCCAAATCCAGCCCTGGGCCTGCTTTCGTGTGGTCTGTAAGCTAAGAGTCATTTTTACATCTTTAAAGTGTTGTAGAAACAAAACACACACATGCACAACGAGAAAGGGATATACAACAGAGACTAATGTGGTCTTCAGAGTCTAATGTATTTCTTATCTGGCCCTTGATGAAGAAAGTTTGTTGACCTCCTTTTAAGGTAACACAGTCAACCACATGCAGCAAAATCTGGGCTGGGGAGTTTCTGGAAGGTTCTACACTCCATGATTATTACAGCAAAGGGCCTCCCGACTCCAAGTGGAGCTTCTTAAAGGAAGGGGCTTTGCTCTCTTCACCTCTGTACCGCGGGACCCAGCATAGTGCCCGTCAACCGCAGACACACGTGAAACACCAGTGAGTGTAAGACGGGAAGAATGACGTTGAGAGGAGCGTGGCTTCGACCCCAACTCACTCGCGATTGGCACGCAGTCGCCGAAGCTCTGTATTAAACTGCAGATGTTAGTTAGAAACGCGTGCCCCCTATTTATGATAAATGTCAAACCACTGAGGCCCATGACAGCTTTCTTCGAAATGAAGAGCAATTGCTCCCGAGCTTATCGAATGTTAATTCTACCTGGAAACACACCATGGTTATTTGTAATAATGTGACGCAATGTCTATGGGTTTGGGGTTGAAAGAAACACTCAACCTCTGTATTTAAATTTTTATTTTCACTGTGATTTTTCAAGCCCATGAATATTGATGAGCATTAAGTAAATGGGCTCCTGCTGTCTGGTTCGTCAAACATGCACTGGGAACCAAAAGACCAATGTGGAGGCGTGTGGGGAGCCCCCAGGGGAGAATGAACTTGAGAACTTACAGAATTAGAACAAAAGACTTGAGAACTTACAAAATTAGAACAAAATGTAGAAGACCCAGAGTCAAGTGTTTGGGGATCAAATCAGGTAATACTCGGTCCCTGCCCAGATGCTCCCAGCAGGGTTTCTCAAGAGAAGGTGAGAAAAGGGAAAATAAATCACGTGTCAGGAATGAGAACACAGCAGCAAATGTTGCAGCTCGTGCCTTCAGGTGTCCCTGGGACTGGGATGACCTTTTCTGGGGAGTTGGCATCAGGGAGGAGATGGCCCATGGCCACCAGCGAGTGTGAACCATGGAATGCCTCCCAGTGCCACAGCTAAAGACAGAGTCAAGACAAAGGTGGTGTGGGGGTGGGATGACAGACCTAGAAGATGCGACCTGCTGCACTGGGTTAGTGTCCCCCAAAATTCATGTCCACCCAGAACCTCAGGATGGGACCTTATTTGGAAATGGGGTCTTTGTAAATGTCATTAGTTGATTATCTCAAGATGAAATCACCCTGGATTTGGAGCAGGTCCTAAATCCAATGGCTGGCATTTTTCCAAGAGAAAGGAGATGGAGATTTGGACACACAGAGACACAGGAGAGAAGATGGCCATGTGAAGACAGAGGCAGAGACTGGAGTGATGCAGCCACAAGCCAAGGAATGAATGCCTGGGGCCACCAGAAGCTGGAAGAGGCCAGGAATGGATTCTCCCCCAGAGCCTCCTGGGAGACAACAGCCGTGACCACACCTTGAATTTGGACTTCTGCACAAATCTATGGGAGAATAAATTTGTGTTGTTTAGGCCACCAATTTTATGGTAATTTGCTGTGGTAGCCACAGGAAACTAACATGACTGGCATGGTGGACAGAGAGCTGACAGAGGAGGACAAGTCTTCAGTGGCAGTCGGGTCCCACTGACCTTGGACAAGCCCACTGACCGTCCGAGCCCTGCACCCATATTTGAAAGGCCCTGCTCACAGTGACTCGTGTTGCAAGAACAGGGTGGGGATACAGGCGTGACCAGCTTGGTCACTAGACTCCACAGCTCCAAGGAAAGGGGCTGGCTGTCTTGTCCAGGATAGTACAGCCTGAGAGCTAGACTGCCTGGGTTCCAACTCCAGCCAAACTACAGCCGCCTCTCCTCCTAGCTGGGTAAGCTCTGTCTGTGCCTCAGTTTCCTTTGCTGTGTAGATTAAATATCTGATACATAATACACATTCCTTCTGTGTCAGCTCTCAGCATGGAGCAGAATCTCAAACATTTATGGGGTGTCCCCTCTGTGGTCACGAGGGACACGTCATGAATGAGACATACCTGGCCGAATGGAGCTTGCATTCTAGGAGGGGAGACAGGCCAGAAGGCATGTGAAGAGATGGCACGATCGCAAGCTTAGACAAGTGCTTTGAAGAAAGCCAACCAGGGTCAAGGAAAGAGACCAATAGAGAGGCCTTACTCTTGGTAGATGGTCAGGGAAGGCCTCTCAGAAGAGGTGGCATTTGGTGACATCTGAATGGCAATAATGAGCCAGTTGTGCACAACCCAGGGAGCAAGTTCACATTCTGCAGAAGGCTAAGAAGATAAATGATTTGACCTGTGACAGGCTTCAAGCCCACGGAACAAACGGTGTCACCCCTTTGATGCAGTTATGTTATATGGCAGAGTTGATGGGATGCTGTTCCCGGGACTGTGTTACGTTATGTGAGGCTCAGACTAAAGTGAGAGCCCCCTTGCTGGCTTGGGAGTCATGAGCTGCCATGTGTGAAGGGCCACATGGCAGAGAAATGCAGGTGCCTCTAGGAGGTGAGAGTAGCCTTCAGCCCATAGCTAGCAAAAAAATGGGGATCTCAGTCCTGTAGCTGGAAGACCTGAATGCTGCCAACAACCACAGGAGCTTAGGAGAGGACTCCAAGTTCCAGAAAGGAATGCAGGGCAGCTGGATTGCAGTTTTGTGAAACTCTAAGCAGGAGATCATTCAGCTGTGCTTGGATTCCTGACCCATGGAAACTGGGAGAAAGTAAACGTGAGTTCTTTTAAATTGCCAAGTTAGTGGTAATGAGTTACACAGCAATAAAAAATGAATCCACCAGCTTTCTGATCTTGGGCAACTTACTCTGAGCCCCATTTTCCTCATCTGGATAACGGGAATAATAGCAGCTATCTTGTTGCTGTGTGTGTACAATGAGGCAAAATTTGCTCAACGCTTAGCACGTGTGGCTCCTGGAGTGTGAAAAGTGCCAAAATAAAGGATGGTGCTGGAACGACCATTGCTCTTTTCTAAGGAGCTGGGCAGATCCTCGAGGTTTCAGCAAAGTGAATTACGTCGCTCTCATACGAGACACCCTGGCAGACTCCTGCGAAGCTGGTGGAGGAAACGGAGGGTGAGTGAGTCACTTGGGATTTAGTAGAAGAGCATTTATGGGCAAAGCATCTTATCAGAGCCTTCAGTTCAGCCGGTTTCAGGACCATTTCCTCCCGCTCTATTTTCCACATTGATCTTATCTCAGCTCTGGCGCATCATCCTGTTGAAAATGGCTCTTACGTCCAGAAAGGGCACTAGAAGTGATGGCAGAGGCAGTGACAATGTTTTCTGAGGACAGGCCCATAATTTCAGAGCTGGGCTAAATGACACTCTGATGGAAAGTGTGCATGTGAGGCCATAAAACCCAGTCCTGTTCTTGAATTATTCCCCAGCCCCCAAATAAAACCAAGTGTAAAATGTCAGAGGGACTATTTTAACAAACAGCTTGGAAAGGGTTCTGATTCAGGGGCGCCCGTGAGCAGACTGCAAAGGAGGGCCGAGAAGACATTCCTGCATGTGTCCCTTTGCGGGGGTTTCTTAGTGTTCTCTGCTGGAAACCTGACCCAACAATAAAGACTAATAAAAACCTGGTGGAGAAAGAGTCAGGCTTCTGAAGTGAAAATCTGTGGCTATTTTACCAGCAGTGAGGGGAACCTGCTGCTGATGCGCCTGGGACAGGTGGGGGAGGTGGAAAAAGATGGAGAGACTGAGTTCCAGTCCTGAATCTGCCTCTAGCTGGCCATGTAGTCATGGGCACGCTGCCCTCTTGGAGCCTCAGTTTCCTCAGCTGTAAGTTAGATAATAATACCTACTCCCCATGGTTACAGTGACGATTTGAAAAGATGGTTCTTATGAGAGTAACCAGCGCAGGGCCAGGCACATGGGGGCATGATTGTTATTGATGACAGGGAGCAAAGACATTTCAGTACTGAGGCTGGGCCAACAGAACAGGCATGGGGAAGGATGGCAGAAGGGGACTGCAGGCATTCTGTGTGGTGTTGACCCCCAGCTCAGCCAGCCTGAATGGGGCTACGCACAACCCACCAGCAGGCCGACATGGGACAGGAAGCCAGTGAACTTGGTTCTCAAGTTTTAAAATCTCTCACCACATTGGCATGGATCATTCTTTTAGAAACTGAGCAACACTTAAGGAAATACACATCATCACTACTCAGTCAATAGGATTTCTTTCTTACCTCTGTCTCTTGCTTCCCGGGAGGGCAGGGACCAGGTACAAACCACGGCCCCCAACACTGTGCCTTGATGTTAATAGTCATCCTGATAATATTAACAGCAAACCTCTGTTGAGTGCTTTTGTGTGCCAGGTGCAATCTGAAGTCCACTTTATGTGGACTTAACTATATATAGTGTGGCTAATCGGTATCAGGTCCTATGCAGGTGCTTTATGTATCACTTCGCTTAATCCTGACACAACTCTAAGACATGTTGCTACTTCTATTT